TCTTTCCTAACCTTCTGTTATATGTGGTAATTGTATTAGATATGGAAACAATTGCACAAGGAGGATTTTTTTAAGATGACAAAAGGTTTTGTGGAAGAACTGGAGCTTCCTGATTCGAAGAGGCGAGTCGAGACCTATGAATCCTTCTATACACAGACAGATAATAATCCTTCCAATCCTTAATGGTGTTCAATTTATTCTATTGAGAAATGTTTCTTGATAAGATTTATAATGTCTGCTGCAAAACATATGCCCACATAAGTTAATTGTCTCTCAAACATAGTTGAGCAGAATCTGTGTTGCGCATGCAACCAGTAATACATAATGATTCATTTTCAGTTGTGTAATCTTGATCCCATTTTGTGTACATTTAAAATTTAGTTATTGAATAAATCATTAAAATGTAGCTTAAATTACAATTTGATATTTGCCTTTTTGTAAAGCAATTTTAACTATGCCACTTGTAGTAGTAGTGGTGATGGAGATAGAGATAGGATTTAGATAGAATTTTAAAATGGAGTTTAATTTATTAGAAGTTTATTGATTTTAGATTAGTTGCTTTATATGCAAATGGTTTATTTATTATATTAGGCACTCTCGAATATATGAATAACTTGATTTGCTTTTATTTATTATAAAACCAATCATATAATGGTTTATCCTAATGAATATATTGAAAAATAATATTTCATAATTTAAAGGGATTATAGCATATTTGGTCCTCAACTTTCCAAACAAAGTAATACCCCTAAACTTTAAAAATAACATGAGACATTCTACCTTTGAGAAATGTGCATGGTAGGTCCTTGATGACAGAATCCATTTGACTTCAATCGTTAGGGTTTGGATGTCGTCATACATAGTTGTCTATATATACTTGGTTTTTTTTTACAATTTTATGATGTGAGAATATGGTGATAAAAGTGATTACTAGTTTTTAGTTGTAATATTTCTACGTCTTCATTATTTGTGGTGCAATAAAATCTCATAATTCATCTATCATATTTTCTTGTCTTCTTTTATTCTTTTATCTAATCCATTTCTTTTATTCTAATGGCATTAATTTGTTTCACTGTCCCACCTGTAACTAATGGCATTAATTTGTTTCAATTTGAGTTGTTGGTCAAATGCTCTTACTTAATCGTGTTCAATTTAAATTTAGAACTATACTATGAGTATAGAGAAATTTATCAAAATACACACAGAAATTTGAAATGAATGGACTAGATTCAAATATGGAGGATGGAAAACACAGATACCCAGACAAGATTTTTTCAATTTAAAATTATGTACAAAATTTGGTAACATTTCCTGTACTTTTAAGGAATTATTCTTAAATTTAACATACAACCATCTCATTGAAGCTACAGGTGGGATAGTGAAACAAATTAATGCCATTAGTTACCCTTCTTCGATTCAACCGTTCCGACTCATGCATTTGACCAACAACTCAAATTGTATGCGTACTTGTATAAAATAATTTATGAACCTTTTTTCGATGTCTCGAATGGAAAATTGAGGTTCCATCTTAACAAGGTCGGTATAAGATTTGTCATTGAGTTGAAATCTAAAAGTTGGGTCTTCAAATTGTTGCGTACATTTTTTTTTCTTCATAAGGGTGTTGCTAAAAAGTGTTGCTAAAATGTACTCCATGCATCCCACAAAAATATAATTTCTTTCATTTTCACAAAGATTATGAAAATATAATTAATATATTTGAAACAATAAATTGTACTTACGTGTGCCTAATATATCTTTACATTAAATGAGGGTTTAAATAGGAGTAGTTTATATTTTTTGATAATAGAATACATTAAATATGTATATATTCGAAAATTAAGAAATCAACTTTACTTTCAAGAAGGAAGTGACCTATAATTTGGGACAGAAAAAAATATGGTCTTGCATTAAACTAAGTCCATGTTTGGTGGTTTTTTTTTTTTTTTTTGGGTAAAATATTGTCTTGAATAGTGATTTTTTTTAAAATGTATAGTTCAAAAATAGGAAAAAGTTTCAATTTTATGTCTTGAATAGTGATTTTTTGAAAAATGTATAGTTCAAAAATAGGAAAAAGTTTCAATTTTATGTTCAGAATATTTTATTGTGTGAATGTGTGGTTGAAAATATAAACTTTTTTTTCCCGAAAGAATGAGAGACGGGCATGGGCTCAATTTTGATAGTTTATGTGTAATAGAGGATAGGGTTTTTATTTCAAAATTTGAACAAATGATTTCTTTTTCTTTTTTTTCTTTTTTTTTTGAAAGGCTGGATTAAGTGTTAAATATATTGTCCTTATATAAATTAGTTTTCGTTCTCGTGTGAGAAAATTAACATCTAAAAAATTATAATTCATTTTCTATCTCTTCTTATCAATCACACATTCTCTAAGAAAATAATATTACATGTAAATTCAAAAACTTTTTTTTTAACCACACATTCTCCAAAAAATTATTATTCCCGTCATTGTAATGTGGAATAATGGGGGCCAAATGGGCGCTGTGTTAGGAATAGTAGGTCAATTATATCAAGAATTCATTATTTATAAGTCAATATGAGATTTTGTTCTCTCCCACAAATGAAGTACCTCATCATCTGTGATCTTACAACGCTCAAAGCGACAATCAATTCGTCCCCATTCCTAAAATGGGAAGCATTGCATGCTCCAACTCTTCGGCTCTTCCATTGCGTCAATGGCATGCATGGGGGCATAGCCTCAATTGAGAGCCGATGGATAATTCCAACTCTCATCAACCAATTAAAATAAGTAACAAAATTCCCTTATTAATCCATTATTTACCTTGTATTTAACAAATTTGAAATTATATTTCCCACTTTCATAATTAAAACTCAGTGTGTGTTTGATGCACATTAAAATGAAAAAAATGCATTTTGTTTGAGATGTGATGGCGAATATGTGGTTGAAAAAGAATGAAAAGTTAATGATGTGATGGAAAATATTATTTTGCCTCCGTTTGTTTATCATTTTTCATCCATAAAAATGAAAAATATCACTGTTATCCATCACATCCAGTCATCAATTTTGAATTTCTATATCTTGTGTGGGGTTCAATAACGGCTATATATTTTTTCTCATTCTACAATAATGAGAATCAAACGGGCCCTTTATTAGAAAATGTGTGATTGAAAATGAGAAGAAGAATAAGAAAGAAAATGAAAATGAGAATGTGGTTCAAACATGGGCTCAATTTCTTCAACTATCTTGTTTCTTTCATGACCTTTTTTCATTTCAAAAGTTCTCATATTTATTAGGGACGGTTCCCACTTTCTACCCTACCTATTCAATGCTTAAAAGGGTACCCTTTTCTCGTGACAATTTTTGGAATGTAATGCAAAGAACAGAGTTGAGAGAAGTTAGGGTTGGGGAGAGAGAATAATGAATTAATGCAGGGGTGCCCAAAAGGTCAATTTTATAATTACTCTCTCGACCTCTTTGTCCCACTTCACAGCTTTTTACATTTATTTTTGCCTTATCTCATGCCCCACACTACATCCCCACACGGTACGTACTATCACCAAATAAATTACAAAAGTTCGACCAAAACTCTCTTCAAACGTTGGATTCACTACGTTACCACTTCTAGCTCTTGTGGTAATCATGCATGAGTCACGACACGTGTATTATTTAAATTTGTGTATGTTTCGGATGTATACTTTTACTATCGAGTCATGCTAGTCTTAATTACAAATATTCTTGACTTTTCCAAGTCGCGTTGGAGCATTACTTTTTCGGATCACTTGTTTGACTTAGATAAAAATCAAAATTTTAGTAATTTTTATAAAAGTAGATGGGATGCATGGATGAAAATTCGTGGATATTATGAAATGTATGGTTGAAATTAATTAATGACTTAAACTTTTAACTCTGATTTAATTTATTTTTTTACCTTAACCAAATAGGGGGTTAGAGTGATATGAAATACGTTTATGAGTTCAAATTTTACATGAAGCAATTGGAAGTGCAAAGTAGATATTACTAAAGAAATTAAACGTGGTTTTTTGTTATAAAAAGTGAAAAATTCTATTAACTTCCTAGCTTACACTAATCAAAAGTCAAGAATTTGACTTTTACTTTCCTGACTTTTTTGGTAAGACCAACATTTCAATTTTCATAATTCCATAGAAGAGCAATCAAATTAAGCCCAACACAACTCAAAACATATCAAGTTTCTTGAATATATGTGTGAGGCTATGAATTTTTAGCCTTACACAAATATAAGGTGAATGTCCGTAATGGAATTCTTGACTTCACTATTTTAAGTGACAGATATATAACTCAATAAAGACTTGAAAAACATACTAATCAATAGCCATGTACACCGCTATTGAGGCTGATCACACAATTGTCGGGCAATAATGTTGAGTTTGAGACGATACATGGCCTTGGAACCATCTAGCTACTCCTAGTACTTTATCATATATCAATCGAATGTTTAGTCATCTTCATCGGCTATACCATGATTATGATTACTTTTCTTCAATTAATACAAGACGTAAAATGCTACGACGAATAAGTAGTTATGATAATCGTTATATGGAGGCACAACTTGAAAATAATAGTCTCACAACCACTTAATTTTAATACTATTGGATAGAAAATTGAAGCATGACGATGGTGTTGATGCAATGCTTAATATAAATTCTTTAAATTATTTTTTCTCAAACTTATATTCGATCATACATTCTTTCAATAAAATAATTTTATACATAAAATTCATAATTTTTATCTACTTCTTAACTACACATCTTAAAAAAAAAATTACTTTTCACAAAATTTATCCTAAAATCCAAAGGTACATTTTGACCCTACTAGTATCCAACTTTTGCCTTTTATTTTTGACTTAATTCTCCCCTCTCCACTTGTCTACTTTAGTCATCACTCAATAGAGAAACCACATAAATACAAAAAGATAACACAATCCCACAACCCACTCCTTTAAAGAGAGTACTACCCCTACACACACATCCCCTCCCTCCTCCAAATGAGCAATCTTGTAACTTCTAACTCATCCTCCACTGCAACCGATTCCACCACCGAAAGGCTAAATATCCACCACCGAAAGGCGGCGGAGCACCATCACCACCAGTCTTTGTTGCCTGGACTTCCAGACCATATAGCCCAACTTTGCCTTTTTTTGGTCCATCCTTCAATTCTCTACTCCGTTTGCCGTTCTTGGCGTCGCCTTATCTATTCACCATCTTTTCCTCCTTTTCTATCTATTTACACTCTCTTGATATCCACGCAAAATCAAGACAACTCCATTGAATACTCCTCCTTTGATCCCATTTCAAATAAGTGGTGGTCATTTCCTCCTCCGCCGCCTGACCCTCCACTCCGCTTCCTCCTCCGCCACTGCTCCTTCATTTCACGTAAATTTCCTATACAATCTGTTTCTGTTTCCGGCAACTTAGTCCTCCTCGCAGCCACAACCGACGAATTCCTCCCCGCCCTCTCGAGGCCACTCATTTTCAATCCCTTGATACAGAAATGGACCTACGGTCCCCCACTATTCACTCCACGGCGGTGGTGCGCCGCTGGAGCCTCTGGCGATGTCGTATACGTTGTGAGTGGAATTGGGTCCCACTACAGCACTGAGGTTGCTCGATCTGTCGAAAAATGGAACCTCCATAACAATAATAACAGCCATTTGAGCCACAAAAAATTATGGGGTTTTGAAAATGATTGGAGTTGGGAAAGAATGGGAGGGCTAAAACATGGAAAATTCAGTCGAGACGCCATCGATGCCATAGGTATGGAGTCTTCCGTCGAATCCTTATATGTTGATTAATATTTTTATATTTATAAAAATCGTTAAGAGTATCTATACAAAGATAGTTCGTTAAATAATATGAATCTTAAAATTTTAAGAACATCTCTAACCCAAATTTGGTGTAAAAAAAATCATCACCAATCCATCTTCATGTCATTAAACCAAATTGGTATAGTATGGTGCAATTTTACACTTTTTCATAATTTTTTTATCCATTATTTTATACTACAACAAATTTTAATTTTAATTATATCATTTTATATTAAATAATTTAACTTTATTTTAATTTAATTATTATTTTTATTAAAATATATAATAAATCTTAATCAAATAAATAATATTTTAGGTAATTAAATGTAATTTTTTGTATTTTTTAATAAATGTAATATTTTAGTTAAATTAAATGTTATTTTTTAATTTAGTAATTACTACTTAATTTTTGAAATAAATTAATAGAGAATTAAAAGACTATTGATTTGATAGAAATTAATTGAGTATTTTAAATGGTGATATGAAGGAAAATATGTGGTTAAAAAGTAAAGAAAAATTATTGATGTAATGAGAAATATTATTTTATTAAATAATGTGTTATTGATAATGATTTCTAAAAGAATGTATTATGAAATAATATGTACCAAACAGGGGCTAATTAAGCAAATTAGTGTGAGTTGTAAACGAATTGAATGTTGGATCGAGCTTTTCTATACATATTTAACCGATGTGGAATTTTTACTCTTAACGATAGGATGGAGAGGGAAGCTTTGCATGGTGAACGTGAAGGGCAAAGCGGCCAAGGAAGGCGCAATATACGATGTACAAACCGACGTATGGGAGGAGATGCCGGAGGGAATGTTGGCGGGATGGTGGGGTCCAGCAGCGGCGATGGAGGAGGACACCATATACATGGTGGATGAATCAAAAGGTGCATTGAGAAAATATGATCATGGGAGGGACAAATGGGTGTTGATTTTGGAAAGTGGAGTGCTTAAAGGGGCGCAGCAAATGGCGGCTGGAGGTGGTAGAGTGTGTGTAGTAAGAGGGGACGGCATCGGCATTGTGGTGGTTGATGTGGTGGCGCCGCCTTATAGATTTTGGATTGTTGATACTCCCCCAGGGTTACAAGCTGTTACTATAAATATATTGCCAAGATTGTCACCGTGATTTTCAACCCTCAATGGCTCAATGGCAGCTATAACTTCTAAGTAATAATTTTTGTTTTTTAATTGTTTAACATTATTCTTTCATTATAATAATTTTTTTTTTGAGCATTTCTTTTTTAATTATATTTATTTAAGCATATTAAACATGTCATAACACAAGCAATTCCGTTATGAGAGTTATCAACGTTCTTTTCAAAGTTCTAGAATTACTTTCGAAATAGGCAAGGTGATTAAGATTGACGATTTTTTATCGTTAATTTAAATTCATGCGAGATAACTAATTAATTTTTCTACATGTTCTCCCGTCTATAATTTTATTCAATATTCGATCGTAATAAGTGGGATTTTTCATTCATATATATATTTTTTCTGCTAAGAATATTTACTCAACACCAATTATATAGCAATACAAAATTTAAATTTAAATTCAATTAAATTTCATTTTGTCCCCATTTCTTAAAATTCTTTTTTTTTTTTTCACACACAAATTTAATAGCATCCTCGACTTTTATCAATTTTTCAATCACGTATTTAATCAATTTTAATCAAAATTTACTAAAAATTTCATTTTTATCCAAATGGAGTGGAATCATTGGAGGGGTGATCGGTGTTGGATACTTGGATTGTAACTTTATATGAAGACAAATATGTCATTTATTTGTCTATAAACTGATTTTGTTTTTTTATTAAATTTATGAATTAATTAATTGGTCAAACAAAACGACACATGACACCACATTATGACTGCGATACGACAGTGCCTTTTTCGCATGCATTCATGATTTGGGTCCCTAACCTTTTACAACAGATAAATGTCATTCATTTTCAGTTGGGCTGTATTCTCAATTTATATTGCGTTAATGTGATATTAAATGATAGATAAAATTAAATAAGTCATTTAATTTCACCTATCATTTAACCAATTATTTACATCCATATAGACTGGAGATGCATCCCCACTGAGGAAGAATAGCATTTTTCTTTAGAACAAGGAAAAGTCTACATGTACATAATATTGTCCATAATGTGATGTGAACAAAATCTTGTAATCTTGTTGTTGATGTGAAGAGTTATGCTACATGTATAAAGTTATGTTACAAAATTGATTGACAAAGTAACATCTACATCAATCATTTTAAAAATATATTTTTAAATCATTTAAAATCAACGGTCTGGATTTTACCAACACACTTTGTAACCCAACTTTTGTAACTCAACTTTGTACAAGTAGCTTTATTATGATGTGAAAGTGTGAGATTTGAATTAATGGTTGGATCCAGTGCCACTTGTAATTATGGACAATATTATGTATAAATTTATGTACATGTAGCACTTTTCTAGATAAAATAATTTTAAAATATTAAACGAATTAAAAAAGGAAAATCAATATTTCCCAATCCCCACGCCAAATCACCATCTCGACCCACCACTTCTTACTCATCGCTGATGAAATGGTGCCATAAAGGGTTTATCTATTTTTGAGTGTCTTGTTGCATAAAAAGAATATAAATTATTGATCACTTTAAGATAATACTACCGTACTTAAAGTGCAATAGACGTAATCATGCGTTTGATCTTGATTCAATAGCACGGCTGTGTGAAGAACTAATGGTCCGTTTGATTGTAAGGATGAAAAATGGGTGGAAAGAAAATATTTTACAGGGAAAAGATTTTCCTAAAAAATGTTTTCCTGGAAATTGTAATTAATTATGTTTGATTGGTATAATTTTCTACCTAAAAAATGTTGAAAGTTTAGTGTCCATTTGGCTTTCCTTTTTTTATAAAAATTGTCCATTAAAGTGATAATTTTTCTACCAATACGTCTAGAATTTGTTATAATTACCAAAAAGTAAAAAAAAAAAAAAAATTTAAACAATTAGAAAAAATTACCATATTCGTTTGACTTTGTTTTACATAGAAATTGTCAACAAAAATGAAAATTCTTTTTACAATAGTTGATAGAATTGGTTGCCTTTACTAAAAAAAAAAAGGGTGGAAAATATTTTCTCAACTAATAGGTGAGAAAACAAAATCAAATTTTTGTGCATCAAATGATTGTACCTAGAAAAATGTGGAAAACTTTTTTCATGAAAAAATTTACCTATTAAACAGCTTTTTAAGGGTGGAAAAGAAAAATGTTTTTCTTTTCCATGAAAAACTAAGACTATCAAACGGAGCCTAAATATTACGTGACTGCTAAATGGTTTACCTAAATCCTTGACAAGGCGTTGATTCTATTTGTAAGCACGATGGCTCTTTGATATACTAACGAGTGTCTCGTGTTAGAAAATTATCACTAGTCATAATTAGAGTAAGATAATCGCAATAAGTAATTTCTACCGACGAATTTAAAGTTAATATTAGTATTTAGCATTGGTCAAATTACATCTACGATGAGATAATGTTGAAGAAAAATGAGATTAACGAAGAAAACAATTAGAAGGGCATAACAACATTTTTTGCCAAATCCTAAATATGGGATCTCGGTGGATCAGAGGTTGAAATTATAAATTTAATTATGAATAATCAAACCAAATAGTTCAGAGACTATAATACACCTAAAACATCACACAAACCTATACGACGAATCAAGAGATCCAATTGCACAATTGTGATAGTTGGTGAGCATTTGATACTATCTTTCATGTTAAAACTACTTAAAACTTAAGAACAATGTTATTCATCATCACCGATGATGTTCAACAGTCTCTTCTTACGGTGGGATTACAGCCAAGTCATCCAATGAATAAAAATACATTTCAACTTCATTAAACAATGTAGCTAACGATCATCAAAACTGACAATGAATATCATTACTCAAAACATAAAACACTTCTGTAAATAGGTCCATACACATGATTTTATGTCAGTCATTCACATAACAAGAGAGATTAAAAACATACCCCAAACAGGATTAACAGACAGACCAGTAACATTAAAATCAAAGGTTTGATAGCATAAGAAAGAGATTCAAAGTAAGATATCCCAGATGCAGATGACATATAAAGCAAACATATGTAACATGACACACGTTCTAATCTTACATTTATTCCATTGCAAACCAAATCTTACAGAGCACCACGATTTAAGAAAAGCACGACAAATCGAGTCTGCTTCAGTTCCAAGACAGCATGAAAAGAAGTAACAACGTTAAGAGTAACCCATCAGTTTTCCGAGCTGTAGGATGCTTCGCTAGATGAAGACTTATCCAACTGGAGGCGCTTCATCTCTTCATAAGCCCATTCAAGACCATGACAATAATGGAGGGGTGGATTGAACCTTGTGTCGTTGATATCATCAGGCAGGAATGCGCCGTTTCCAACCAGGAAATTGATTGCTTTCTTATTTCTTTCTTTAGCAGCATTGTGAAGTGGTGTCCCTGTATCCGATAAATAAAAGCAGATGTGAAATAAAACAAAGGACAGCAACATTAATATTTCTTCTTTGTTTTCCAAAGAAAGATCCATGTTTGGCTAAGCTTAAAAATGTGAATGCTTGGACGAGCACCATTGTTCTGTATTTTTTTTTCAAGTAAAAAGTGTAAATTATTTGATAGTTACACTTTTCTTTCTGTTGTCTGACAAGATAAGTAACTTGCTTCCAATTTTGATATAATTAAAAATAAAAATAAAAAATCATTCTAAAACTTATTAATGACTTATAAATAAACCTTTTAAGCTTTAGCCAAACATGCTCTGTGCGTATCTTTCACATAACATATACTCACAGCCGCATGCACCCTTAGTTCGCGCGTCAATATCAGCACCACGCTCTAGCAATGCATCCATAACTTTAAGATGACCCCCCTTAGCAGCAAGGTGGAGGGGGGTCACGCCATGCGACTTTGGCCCCCAGGCAGCCACATTAACATCCATTCCTTCATCAAGAAGTCGTTTCACCTACAAAAGATGAAAACAATCCACTTAAATCAAGAGAGACACAAATAGAAGACATGTTAACCTTTTTTCGTCCATGTTAACCACTAAGAGAGACACTAAGGTCATCCATGATTGGGTCTGCAAACTAGACCATCCAGGATATATACCCATGTTGCCACGCATGACACATGTTAAACAAATAATCTTCACAGCAAGTCACAATCAGACACACACTCACCAATAGAAGCAATCATATTAATCGTTGTAACTAATGGAATTTCATTCTCTCTTATGAATTTTATCAAGCCATCTTTAGATATTGTGTCGTCTTCCACTGATGTTTTTGCCATACAAAGTTTCACAATTCTTTGTTGTATTAAATTTAATTATCCCACCACACATCTGTATTGGCATTCTGATTGTACCCATAAATATCTTCTAAATGTTGTTTCCTTAGTTGCTCAACATTCGAAACTATACAAGGCAGGGTCTTAACCCCAATATCTTTCAATTTCTTAACACGAGAAATCATGGTTGTCTAATGCATGGATTGCTGCGGTTCATTGATTTAAAGTTCTTCGTCCGGCAAAAACACTAGCCAACAGTCCAAATGCATAGCCAGAATCTTATCCTCTTTGTCTGTTCCCATAATCCAAGTCAAAACTAACCAATGCAGAGAATATATTCTAACATCCAGATCCTCTACACGATGGGAAGATCTGAACATTGAAGGAACAATCTCCTTCAAACCCTTGACATTTCATCACCTTACCCATCTTAAACCCAATCAAAGAGTACCATTCTCTGTCGCTCGATTACTCACATCCATAATTAAGACCTCCAAAAATCTGTTCATGAATTTCATCACACTTCATTGAAAAGATTTTTTGAAGACCAAGACTTCCCGCACCCCTACCCTTTTAGATTTAGGAAGGATTATATAGTTTTCACCACCAGTCTTTCGGAAATATACCATAACCGCACAAGTTGTGAGTCTTCTTAATGTTTGTATTTCATTTCCTAGAAACATAAGGTACTGCATTCACCTCGTATCTAAATCCCCACTTTAGTGGCCATGTTATAACGAAGACTTCTCATAATCCAAGTATACCAACAATGAAATCCACTGATGAGTCTATATTATGCTCTGAATTTCAACACCATAATATTGCGCGATTAATGAAAGAAATTACAGAACAACATACTTAACAAAGTACCAATGATTAAGAAAATTGTTACATATGGCTATTCATAGAACACAAGAAAAAATCACTGAAAAGGGGTGAAAACATTACCTGTTTGAGGTCACCTTTCCTAGCACAAATGTGAAGGGGAGTCCAACCTCGATCATCCCTGTCCCCTCCCAACCTACCCAACTGCCTGCTCTTCCTGATTGGTCCGATATCAAACTCTGGCATTATTGAATATTCCTTTTCTTCTTTATATCAAACACCAGCCCCCCAAAATCGTTACTAATCCAATGATCTTACAAATCTTAACCCAAATTTACCTTTATCTTTGATGGACGATCAAAATTACTCAATCTTTAACCTTTTTAAGGTTGGATTCAAAGGTTTAAACTAGAAAAACCCAGAACGAGTTTTCTTTGCCTAATTGAAGAAAAAACGGACTTCAAATTCAGGAGCTTTTTCACATGAGAGAAAAACACATAAAATACCCACAAACAATCAAGGCAGAAATTTCAATTTATCAGCGAATTTGGTCTTATCTTTAAGTCTCAAGAGAACCCAGAAAACATATGAATAGATGAGCCCAATTAAAAATACGTGAAATTTCAGAGCTTCCTATCCTCGAACAGTTTACATAATTTTTAAAAATAAAAACTACAAAGAAAATTAGCGAGAGGAATGATTGGCCAAGTTGTACGGAGCAAACGGATTCAAACCAGGGCCAAAAGCTCGGAGATTGCCAGAAAGCTTGTTGGTGTTCACATTCAACAATGATAAGAAGCGAAATTCAACAACGATGATCATAATTAATGCCCAAATCTTGATATCAATATAAAAGTTCGTAAAGGATTTATCTGGATCCTGTTAGAAATTGGAGTAGGTTTGGGGGTTGCATATGTATGATGTGTGTAAATCAGATGAATCCGTGAGTGAAAAAGGGCTCGAGAGATATATTGAGATGAAGTGATGAAACCCTAAGACAGGCAGGATAGATTTGGGAGAAAATTGTAGAATTCGAATGCTTCAAGGATTTGTAGGGATTTTGTAATTGTAATTCAAGATTTTATTGAAACGGGACTTAAAATGGCACCATAATGAAGGGAAAATTGCAGCAGAGGTCCTAAGCTTGCTGCATAAAACTTTTTGACCTTTTATTTTTACGACCACAATCTCAAACATTTTAACTTCCACCGATAACGGAAAAGGCTTGGAGAGAGTGGGACAAAAAGAAGAGAATGAGAGAAGAAAGCCTGGCCGAGAAGGATGCCCTCTTGACAACATTTGTTAACGAACTCGACCATGATGACAATTCTTGACGTGTTTGACAATATGATAAACAAAATTTTAATTTCTTTTTCTTCTTTAATACTAACACTTTCAATTGCTAGATTCCAATATGGAGAAGGAACTTCCATACTTGTTTTTGTGTTTACTCAGTAGTTTGACTTTTACTCAAAATAAAACCCTTCGAGAATAGAGTTCTATAAGTTTAAATCTACACATGTAAGCTGACTAATCGTATATTGTTAACAAAATTGCATTTTCTTACCATTGTAAAGGTTTTTTATAGATGACTTCGGAACCCCTACCCCCTCTACTTTCGAGGTGCAAGTCGTGCTTTGCGCAATCCCATATCGGACATGTTTCTTTTCAAATAATGCAGCCCAGCCAGCTTGTAAGCGGGCTAGTTTGTTTACCCCTTTTATTCTTTATTATAAATTAGATGTATATAATAAGTTTTAATTATGAAAACGTAAAACAAAGTATTTGTTGTAAAATAATGAGATAATTATTGATGATTATTTAGTATTATCATAATATATAGATAAGTCTTATCTAATTCAGATAGTTTATTTCATTTCAATTGTAACTCTTATTTTAGACCCTATAAATATTGGTATTGATTATCAATAAAATGCATACTTGAATTTTAACTCTTATATTTTCTTCTCTTCTTGTTCTATTATTTTATAACACATTATCAGCACGAGAATAAAGGGAATTAATTAGAAGATAGTATATATTTCAAATCATACATAGATGCAATAATTCCCTAGCTTGAGTTCACAATTTTTTTTTTAGGGTTATGCTATACTACCAGAAAGATATTACCAGAAGCTTGCCAGATACTCACAAAGGCTTTTAATAATATAAAATTATCTTCTGTTAAAGTACTATTTTGCCCTTAATTAAATATTTTACAGGTTAAGTCCTGTATCTTTTATTTCTCCTTGATTTGTAACCAAAATTATTATTTTATATAATTTTTTGTTTGTTTTAAATATTCTCTATATTCTACTAATTTTTTGTAAACTCTAGGTTGATCTTTTCTAGTTA